CTGTTCGTCATTACACGGTGTGGAGCATTGCACATGGCTAGTTTCAACCACACCACTTCCACTGCACGGCGCAAGTCACAGGAAGTGTTGAGGCCACGAATTAGTGTCAAATCGACTGGTACATGCCAACACCCAAGCCCACTGGAAAGAGGGCATTCACGCATCTCCTATCCAACCAGGCTAATGCCAGCGTCGCAGCACTAACAGGGCCTCGATTTTCGCCAAGCACCAGTGTTCGACAAGAATCATCAACATTGCAAGGGATTTGTGCGGTTAGCACCTTCTGAGAAATGCCCACATCTCCTATTCTTTGGAAGTGGGCGTGACCACCACTACATGCTCACGTCAGTTGCAGAGCATGTATTCAAATCACACGCCTCAAGGCCAATGTTCACACACACAACATTCAACTCACTGCACCTGACACTGCATCCCTTGCCTCTTCTCGTCTTTGCCCTAGGCCTCCGCTTCCACATCTCGCGCTCAGAGCATGGCAGAATTACGGCGCTGCGATCAGCAGGATACTTGGGAAGTGAGAGTGATTGGTCAAGAACTTCCCCACCTCCACTCACGATCAGCAGACAAGGAGACGCCAAGATTTTCACACTTCATTTGGGAAGAATCCGCTGTCACCGCCATTCGAAGCGCTGCATTCATCTCACTTGAGCGCCTCAACTACTTGCAGGGATATCACTCTAACGTAGTGCACTGAGTTCTCGCATTCAAGGGAGCTTCTGACACTCCATACCCACCCGCATTTGCCGACACGTATGACACCACCACGACAACAGACCATGCTGTCAGTGTATAAGTCCCAGGTTGACTTCAACATACAGTTCTTTGCCAAGCTACGGAAGCCGAGTAGCCACCAAGCTTAACGGGCAACACAGCACAATCCCTTTCACGAAAGACAAAGGCGAGACTACAAATCATTGATTCATTCCCACTCAGGAGACGCCTTAGGACGGACAATCGCAGAAGGGGAGGTGTCGAAACAAAACTTCATTTAATGACTTCGCAGTCATGGGGACTCACAGAGATGGCAATGAGAGGCATCAAGATTATCATCGTTCTAAGAGATTTGCCCTGCTTAGGCACCAACGCACTGTTCCTGTTTAGAATGACTTCAGTCCTGCCGTAAGTGACGCAGTGATGTCACTCCCACAGTACGCCTCACTCCGACATTAACGACCAAAAGTAGGTCCAACATGGCGATTGCATTCCTTCACTCACCATATTGCTCGGGAATTCGAAAATGTTGGTGAGGGCAAAGGGGTTGAAGTTTTGCCTCTCCTTAAGGCTTGTGGCAATAGGAGGAGTTGTCGACAGGATGGGAGTGAAAGTGAGCAAAGATGAATTGTACGAAGGTGAGGAGGTAGTCAGTACACCAACCAGGAAATGAAACACAATCACCTACAAAGCACTCCACAATCTGGATGCGACATACTCCAAATGGATTGCCAACTAAAATGAACAGAAGCACAGCAGGATATTCGCTAGGATATTTTGGTAAAGAAGGAACATTGAAAATTGGCTACACGCAACGATAAAACAGCGTTCAATCGTGAGTGCTAGGTTTTACCGAAAGGGATGGGTGAACAAAATGGAGAGGTAGGAGCCCTTCATGAATACGAGGTTGCTCACGATTGGAAGATGGTCGAAATGATTAACAAATTGGGGCACCTCTATAACATGAGCAAATGCATGTCATGTAGTTCGTGCCTTCGCACATCTGTCACCACATCACTATCATTGTAGCCGATTCACAGGACAGATCTGGCACCATGTATCGCACTCATGGTGAGTAGTACAGCAGTCAATTAAAAATGGATGGAGGAAATAGAAAGTCACACCTACTTACTGCTCGAGATCTTCTGAGTGACAAAAAGGGTGAATAAATTGCGCGGGTCCTACATTCTTCTCTCTTTCTTCATTCTTCACCTCCCTACACCAAATGTCTCCAATGCCTATAATGCCAAGCACATTCCTCCTTGCATCTCATTCCACAGAGCAGCCTCCTTGCTCTCACGAGTGACAAACCTTACTTAGGTGGGTAGTTAGGCTCTACCTGTCACAGCACTGACAATTAAGCCATGCACTGAACAACACGCTGCCAATTCGCAGCAGGCCACACTTCTGCACATCTCCTCCAAAGGAAAGCATTTTCATCTACACTGCTGCAGACACCAGTCACTGTAAAGTGGTCATCTCATCATAGCAAGGCAATCCTACTTAGTGGCATAAAAGCGCTTCCCACAAGTGATGACAAACTCACACCCTCACTCACCTCATATGAAGTACCCCAATTAGAGGAGAGAACACCTGCTTTTCCTGCACACAATTCCAATTTGTCTGCCTCTTCTCCTCTCTGCACACCACACGCAGATGCGACTCGCCTGCTTCACCCTCGGCACGACAAACGTTGCCACTTTCTCGTCTATAAGCAGAGAGTAACAGCATGACCTCCATTTAGTGGCCTCCCCATTCACCATATTCCAGTGGTGGCTATGGCCAACACATGGCAATCCCACATTCCATCCAACTGACAGATGAGTGGCGATGCTGCCACACGCTCCCCAGTCCCTTAGACAATCACACTCCCGTGCACATTTCTCATACTCACTCACCAAAGATGTTTGGATACAACATAGACGGCACTGCTTCTACACGCGAAATGCATACCCACGATCATATTTACGTGCCCCTACCAACTACCTGTATGCATGCATTCAAGTTTACTTCAATTTCAGCAAGTAATCAACCAACTCATGCATTAGACAATTAATTAATCACGCAATCGTTCACAACTCACACCTCAGAGTGTTAGGCTCTCCGCAGGCTGACAACGATTCCCTCTGTCAAGGAGGATGAAGTGTGGGCGAACATGTCGCACAGTCCTGTGAGTACTTCCAGCACAGTGGGCGGATAATGATGAGGGTGATGCAAACAAAGCAGAGAGGTAATTCGGGATTCAAAATGAGGTGGTGAACGGAGACTGTTTTGTACTCGATCAATTCGAAGAAGGTGATCATCGCAATGGAGGCCATTACATTTAATCTGTCATATGAAGAAAACAATCAGCATCTCGTGGCTCTGCGATGGTGGTTGAATGACCCCTCTCCTGCCCACATTGTATTTCGCGTCTTCATCACCGCAGTTAGCAGAACTGGCACATAGCATAATGGCCAATATTGTTGCACGCACACTTGGCCTCTACACATCACAATTGAGAATTCTATGAATTCCTGCTTGCTAGTGCACTGCATGACTGTGCTTAAACGGGTTTGTGTTAACAGGACTGATTTTGACCACGGATGTACAGTGAGAATGGGCAACTTCGGTGGTGTCGCCATTAGCATTGGCATGTGGCATCGGTGTCGATGGTCGAATCTTGAAGCTAAAATGCATCAAGTCTGCGTACTACGTGCAGTATGGTGATAAGTAAGTTGCTTTACAACCTTCTGTGGTTTCTCTCACAATATGCAGTCATCAGACACAGGCGATTGTAGGCGTAGGGGACAATCGGCGTACAGAAGTGAAGATGGAAGAGGTGGAGGAGGAGGACGTAGGGCCTGCTCAATTCCCCGGTCCTTTTTGTCACTCAGTTGCAGTTGAGCGGTTCCGTAATTTGACCTTCCCTTCTTTTTCCCTTTTGTTCTTTATTTCCTTTCGTACTGCCCACTACGCATGTGGTATTTAGTGCCAATTCTAGCCCAGCTTCCACATTCATTGAAGCAACGAAACAGTAAGAGATGTTTTAGTATTTCATGGTGGACGTAAATGATGTAAAGACATAACGTGCATTCATACACGTTGCAGTGATACTTCACTTTGATCAACAAAAAAACACAATGCAGGCATGAGAAAGCGTTAGCAAATTGCCGTAGCAAGTCTACGAAATGTCAATCTGTTTGTCCACATGACAGGCTGGAATTGGTGGACTGCACTGGAATTCACAATCTGCAGACGTTGACCACCGTGATGAGTGCCATCTTCGAGATGATCGAGCCTACCTCAGTCTCCCTTCACCGCTTCACTTCGAATCCCGAACTACCTCTCTGCTTTGTTTGGATCACCCTCATCAGTATCAATGCAGTTTGCTGGATATACCTACGAGATCGCGCGACATGTCCACCCACTCCACATCCTCCTCTACAGAGGCAATCGTTGTCAGCCTGAGGAGAGCCTAACACTTGCAGTGGTGAGTTGTGAACAATTGCGTGATGAATTAACTGTGCAATGCGTGCGTTGGTTGCGTAGTTGTGAAGCTGAAGTAAACGCTGAATAGGTGCACAGAGTTAGTTGGTAGGGACATGTTGATGGCATCACTGGAATGGGCTTAGTGTGGGCGCAGTGTGCTGCACGTTGTGTGCAAACATCTTCGGTGACTGA